AATTTGTTTTATACAATAACCTAGATAATTGAATCATAGGCTTATTATGTATATAAAAAGTATAGATTAGTAAGAAATTTCTTTAATTGAGAAAATAAAGAAATTTTCCTTTTGTCTTGGATTATCGGACTACACGGTATCTGTTAAACAAAAGTAGCTATTGTTTATGATTTATGAACCCAAAAGTTGAATTGTGAGAATGCAGTTTAAGACACTCTATTGCTTAGGTACTATAAAGACTCAATTTTATTGTCATATCCTCAAATCTCGGAGGTGCTAATATTTCATCACTCATTTCTATGTAGGTTTAAAAAAAAGTATTTACAAAATCTACAATGGGGAAAAATATATTTATAAACTTGGTTATTGGAATTATATTTTTTAAAATTTTATCTCCTACTAAAGTTAATTTTATACAAAGACAGATGATTTAATCACAGGCTTATTATGTATATAAAAAGTATAGATTAGAGAGAAATTTATTTAATTAAGAAAATCAAGAAATTGGCCATTTTGTCTTGGTTTATCGGACTATGTGGCATCTGTCAAACAAAAGTTTCTGTCGTTAATGATTTATGAATGCAAAAGTTGAATTATAAGATTGTGTTCTGAGACACATGCAATAAAGTCAATTTTATTCCCATACACTTAAATCTTGGAGGTTTTAATATTTCATTACTTATTTCTACGTAGGTTAAAAAAAATACAAAATCTATAGAGGGTCCAAAATTGTTGATACACTTGTTTTTTTTTTGATATTTTCTTTTTTAAATTTCATCTTGTGGCTAAAACTTCTTGTTTTATACAATAAACTAGACCATTTAATCACAGGCTTATTGTGTATATAAAAAATACAAATTAGAGAGTAATTTCTTTAATTGAGGAACTCATGAAATTTCCCTTTTGTCTTGGATTACCAGGCTATGATGCAAATGTGAAACAATAGTTGCAGTCGTTAATTATTTATGCACCCAAAAGTTAAATTTTGAGTAGATGCCTTAAGACACTATCACTTAGGTGCTATAAAGTGTTAATTTTATTCCCATACCATAAAATCTCGAAGGTATTAATGTTGTATCAATTTAAAAACTAATTAACTGACAAGGTACAGATTTTCTTTATTTTTAATCTAAAGGGTGTAAAAGGATTACTAACGGTATAAAGGTAAATAAGTTATTAATGTTGTGTTTTAAGTCAACATAATTTATTCTTAATAGTTATTATGGAAAATATACAAATAAATGCAAGTGTATTTAGCTAGTTTATGCTATTTTTTTTTTTTTTTGCATATTGCTTGTATAGAAAATGAGCGAAAGTTTTTATGCAATTATCCAAAAGGAATTGTCTAAATGAATTCTCAGAATAGCATGTCGTTTGCATTCTTTATTCGTTGCAAATGGGAAATTTTCAATGACCGCTATTGTTGATTTCAAGAAAAACGACAACCCATTGAGATATTAAACATGTTTGTTATGCTCGATTTGAGGCTTCGTATTAAAAATTCTGAACTGTGATGCGTGTTTTTTATCGCTTAGTGTCATCCTCTTTTTGTTTTTTGTTTAAAAATGTCATTATTGTGTGTCGTGTTGAGAGTGCCCCTTCTCGACACACAATAATGACACATCTACACAGAAAACAAACACTTTGAGCTCTGAAGATCGAAACGTTGGTACGATAAAGATAATTTCTAAACCTATGTCACACCAGACTGCATCGCACGATCTCCAAATAATTAATAGAAAACAGATATAAATGTAGGAAGCCAGTTGGCCTAAAATAAATTATTGTTTAAATATTCATAAAAATTAAACATTTTGTATTTTGTTATATTATCTTGAGAGGGCTTTTGCCTCATAAAATGTATTTAAAAATTGGTAATTAATATTATCATCAATTTAAAGATAATTAAGTAAAAATTGCGATTTTTCCCTTGATCTTATTACATTCAAGCTGTACTAAACTTAAACAATAAATAAGATTAGTTTTATATATATATTATGTAGAATATATCGATAATATAATAATTTCTTACTTTGAATTTAAAAAAATAAATAAATAAAAATAATAATTACATGTTAAAAATGTACATGTATATAACTGCTGGAACGTATGGGCAACGGCTGGGTTATTGCAAAGATGCACCAGTTTTGACATCGAAGCAAAGTCCTTCTTGTTTTCAAAGAGGCAAAACAAGAAAAAAAAATCTACTTCCAAAAGTATTTCTAAAATTATTATTTGGAGATCGTGAGATGCTGTAGGGTGTGGCGTAGGTTTTAGGAAAACATTTTCTTTATCGTGCCAACGTTTCAATCTTTATTGAGATCATCTTCACGGCCTTTGATTGGGGGGGGGGATAATAATAAAAAATTTCAATTAATTAAGGTTTTTAGTTTTTTTAGAGATAAAAGTCAGCGTCACGAGTGGGATAATGGGGGTATGATGCAGTCAGCGATAAATGTTGTGGCTGGAAGATGGGAATGCTGACTTTTTTATCTCAATTAAAAACCTTAATTTATTGAAATATATTAATTGGTCAAGCGAACCACTAAAACTAGTGATATTAATGAAAAAATAATTTTTTTTTGTGAATGTGAAAATTTTTTTTCATATCCTAAATGTATTTGTAAAATTTAAACAGTGTTTATAAATCCCAGGCCCTGAAGATGATCTCAATAAAGATTGAAACGTTGTCATAATAAAGAAAACGTTTTTCTAAAACCTATGTCACACCAGGCCGCACGTCACGATCTCCAAATAATCTTTGGCTAATGGTCACTAAACACCACGTATTTCTAAAAATTTTTTTCATCTTCTTCCAATTTACCAAAAAGAGAAAATGACCTTTTACATTTTTCTTGTATAAATAACAGGCCGATAAGATTTTTTTTTTTTTTTTAATTGTTTGACATTTACACTCCTTGGTTCAAAGCTGAGCTAGGGAGAGGTACTCGAAGCTGTGGTCCATCCGGTAGAAAATCTTTTATGTATATGAAGAGGTCTATTTATTGTGGGGTTGTGGTTGTCATATAGAAAAAAAAAAAAAATCCTGGTTTAAAGATTTAGAACTTCATTGATTGAATGTTGTTATTATGAGTTATTTTGCACTTTAAAATCAGATTAAAGAGCAAGAAATGTTCAGACGTACAATGTGATTTCCTGCCATTTTATTAAAGTCTTAAATTGTACAGTGGAAAACACCCTGTATAAGTTTTTAGTAAAAACAATCGATTTATTATTAGAATTATATTCAATGTCTAAGATTGTTGGATGAAATACAAATATGGCCAAATTTTAATTGTCATAATGAGGAAGTTCTATTAGGCATCTTTGATTTCTAAAAGTCATTTCCTGAAACAAAACTTATTCGTAATATATACATGATTTTAATTAATAATTACTATATTGTGGAGTCTAATAAGATTTTTTGGTTGGTGAGTCTTTGTGTTTTAACAATGACCAGTTATATTGGTTTTGCCCTACACCAAACTACTGCTGATTTTTTGCTGCACTTTATCCAAAAATTGTGATCTGGTAAAGAACCTGTAATTTTGTCTTTTTTTTTGGTCAGACACTGCTATCTAAAGTAGTGGGTTTTTACCAAAATTATCACTAAAAGCTGAAAATGGCAAGAATCTGAAATCTGACAGCCCAAATCAGCGAGGATAACTAGACCAAATTGATCACAAATGATCAAATATTCGTTCATCACTCCACAGACAGTGAAAGGATATAGCACAATTTTAGACCTGATTAGTTTTGGTTTGTAAAAAAAATGATATTTATTCAAACAGGAATTGTGTGAAATATATTCTTATTGCAATTTCCAAGCAAAAGCTAGGTTTTTAGACAATTCACTAATTTCGTGGTCCGCTTGACCAATTAATATATTACAATTAATTAAGATTTTTAGTTGAGATAAAAAAGTCAGTATCACGAGCGGGATTCGAACCTTGGGCTTGATACGCCGCTACTCTACCACTTGAGCTATTGTGACCTCGATCCACTCGGACACTTCCCATCTCAACCCCACCTTTTGAATTTATCCTCCTTTTTTTAATCTCAACTAAAAACCTTAATTAATTGAAAGACATTAATTGGCCAAGCGGGCCACGAAAACTAGTGAATTTAATAAGTTAAAATAAAGTATACCATCATTAAGCACTCAAAAACCACCGATTGAATTTAAATTAATTAAGGTTTTTAGTTGAGATAAAAAAGTCAGTGTCAAGAGCGGGATTCGAACCCATGATCTTTGGCTAGATATGCCACAATTTTTCAAATGTCGAGCCAATGTTTTTGCCATTTGTCGCCGAGAATCAAATAGATTACACGACATTTGAAAAATGGCAAAAAGGAGGGAAAACTCATAAGGTGGGGTTGAGATAGGAAGTTGATGTCCAAGTGGATCGAGGTCACTCAACTAAAAACCTTAATTTTTTAGACAATATTTTAAAATTTTACTTTCTTTTACAAAATTTGAAAATTACCTAGTCTTGATGTCTTCCTAACATAACTCCCGCTCGGAATATGGCAAGGGGGTGAAAATCACCAAAAAAGGCAAAACTATTAATACAGGCAGACCAAAATGATCTGAAACAACCTAACTACACTATCATACTTGTCCTGCTTTTTCAAAACTTACAGCTATTTTAAACAGACCCGTGCCACCTGCTATCACTGCTTCTGTTCATCTAACTGTTTTACACCTCTGCTTTTTTTGGCTAATTCAAACAGGGCTCACTCTTTATCAGTTGACGCTATGGGGATTCTACTTTATTAAAGTAATAGCAAATAATGCAACAGTGAGTTTTCTCTGTATGGCCTGCCGGATGATAAACCTGTAATTTGGTCGTCACCGATCATCCTAGTCTATCTTTGCTTTGGTCTGTTGCTATTGGTATTTTGCTTTACTGTTATATCGATTTTCAAATTTTGCAATATGTTGATTTGTTTAAAAAAACCAATCGTATTTACTAATTGTCAAATTTTCAATTTTTCAGTTCTTCATACCTCAGCTAGTTTAGCACTTAATGAGAGCTGGGATCCAGATGTTAGGGACGATATGGAAATGATGCTTAATAAAATAGTGCCTGAGGTAAATCATATTTTTTATTGTCTAATATAAATATAATAAGAGAATGTATGTAATTTTTTTTTTTACTTCAGGGCTTAGCGTATAGGCATTCTTGTGAAGGTCCGGATGATATGGTGAGTTTTAGAGATTTTTATAGTAATAAAACAATCTTAATTATTTTTGCCTCTTTTCAGCCGGCTCATGTCAAAGCGTGTTTCCTCGGATCATCTCTGACTATTCCTATTACCAATGGAAATTTAAACCTAGGTACTTGGCAAGGCATATGGCTCTGTGAACACAGGGATCATGCAGGGTCGAGAAAGGTGAGATTACTAATAGACAGTGTTATCTTGTTTTGCGATTCTATTTTTATATGGTAAATATTTGAATTAAGTTTTTTCTGTTTATAAAAAAATCTGATATTGGCATTTAATGCAGACATGGCAGAAAGTATTAGGCATATTATGAAAGTTTAACAAGTGGCCGTCATGTTTTATATCCTCTTTTAATAACACCAATTTAAAAGAAAAATGACATGATTTATAGCACTCAGAAGGGATGTAGTTAACCTAAGAAGTTCTAAATGTATCAGTTAGGGCATAAAATGATCTTAGCCATTAAATAAAACCCTTAAAAATTAATAATAATAACAAATTATAATTAATTAAGGTTTTTAGTTGAGATAAAAAAGTCAATGGCACGAACGGGATTCGAACCCACGATCTTCGGCTTGATACGCCGCTGCTCTACCACTTGAGCTATCGTGACCTCGATCCACTCGGACACCAACTTCTCATCTCAACCACACCTTTTGAATTTTCCCTCCTTTTTGCCATTTTTCCGTGGCCATTTCATTTGTCGTCGAGAATCCAATCCGATTACACGACATTTGAAAAATCAACAAAAAACAAATATTATTTTTCCCTTAAATTTCTAGCCTGCCATTGGGCTTTTATTTTTTCACTCGCAACAATAACTGAAACATCTTAAAAGTGCTTGTAGATGTCTGTTTTTCATTGGACAACGGATCGGTTTTTACCAGATTTACAGTGTTACATTGACTATAATGTGTGATGATTATTAGTGACCGTTAATCGATTTTTATTCCAAAATCGTGCGATGCGGTCTGGTGTGATGTAGGTTTCAGAAAAACATTTTCTTTATCGTGCCAACGTTTCGATCTTTATTGAGATCATTTTCAGGGCCTGGGATTTACAAACATTGTTTACATTTAACAAATATATTAAGGATGTGGAAAAGTGAATTTATACAATGCAAAATATATTTTTTATATTCAATTTCTTCTCTCAACACGATACGCAAGAATGGCACAATTACACAGAAGACAAACATTTTGAGTGAGTAGAAATACTTTGATTGAATATATTAAAAAAAAATATATTTTGCATCGTATAAATTCACTTTTTGCCACATCCTAAATGTATTTGTTAAATGTAAACAATGTTTGTAAATCCCAGGCCCTGAAGATGATATCAATAAAGATCGAAACACTGACACGATAAAGAAATTTTTTTTCTAAAACCTACATCACACCAGACCTCATCTCATGATTCGGAATAATTATTGACTATAATGAAAGTGTGTACATGCACTGGATGTCGGTCCGGCGACTATTTACTGCAGGGTATTCATCTGACCACCCACTCAGTGCAAAGGACACTAATCCGGCATAAGAACGTGCGGTCAACCATACCGCCAGTGTATTGATGTGTGTAGATAATGCCGGACCTATCATATTTTTTCTGCAAATTGCTCACTTCCCTGTTTATATTATTATGTTTATGTCCCGTAGTTTAAATTGCATGTATCATCGTCAATAAAAGTTAAAAAAAAAATTTTTCTACTTCCAAAAGTATTTTGAAAATGATTATTCGGAGTAGTTAGTTGGAAGAAGATGAAACAAAATTTTAGAAATACGTGGTGTATAGTGACAGTTAGTTAACGATTATTTGGAGGTCGTGAGATGCGGCCTGGTGTGATGTAGGTTTTAGAAAAACGTTTTCTTATTGTGCCAATGTTTCAATCTTTATTGAGATCATCTTCAGGGCCTGGTATTGGGGGGGGGGGAATAAAATAATAAAATAATTTTTTTTTTTTTTTTTTTTTGGGTATGTGATTTTTTCACATCCTACATGTATTTGTCAAATGTAAACAATGTTTATAAATCCCAGGCCTGAAGATGATCTCAATAGCGATCGAAATGTTGGCACGATAAAGAAAATGTTTTTCTAAAACCTACGTCACACCGCATCTCACGACCTCCAAATAATCGTTAACTAACGGTCACTAAACACCACGTATTTTTAAAATTTTGTTTCATCTTCTTCCAACTTACCAAAAAGAGAATGAAAGATGTACCCACAATGACCTTTTACATTTTTCTTGTATAAATAGCAGGCCGATAAGAATTTTTTTTTTTAATTGTTCGACATTTACACTCCTTGGTTCAAAGCTGAGCCAGGGAGAGACGGTACTCGAAGCTCTGGTCCATCTGGTAGAAAATCTTTTATGCATATGAAGAGGCCTATTTATTGTAGGGTTGGTTGTCCAATGGAAAAAAAAAAAAAAAACTGGCATCTACAAGCACTTTAATAGATTGACAGGTGATTAGAACCTTATAAAGTACGTGTAATGGTGTGAATTTGGCTTCTGTAAATAAATTAGAACCTAAAATGTAAAATAAAATATTTGGGGATTTTTTTTTAAATTTAGGATTTATATAAGCTCAAATCCACACATTGTACATATATACAGTTGAGCTGCTTCTCGTAGTCCTCTGGCAATTCCAGCTTTAAGCCAAAGTATACATTAGTCATGGATCTCCTTGGAGAGCTGTAAATAAAGTGTAAAAAAAATCATTAGGGGCTTTATCTATCATCCAACTCCCCAATGAGACCCCCATATACAATACATTCATAGTCAAAGTGTGGGAGAATAAGAGAGGAAACTAGGAGTTCACGGGTACTAATGGGAAAAAGGTGGCTGGCACAACGGAACTGATGGATGGTGGAAAAGCAGTGGTGGGAGATCTGTGAAATATGAGGTTGCCAAGATAAGGTCTGCTCAAGGTTCTTGACAGTTGGACAGAAAGAAATAGGGTGATTGTTAATGGTAAACGGTGGATAAAAGGTAAGGATTGAAGGAGAGAATGAGATCCAAACACAATGGCCTGAGTAAGTGCAGACTAGGTAGGCAGAGCCACCATTGTCTTGAATCACCCCAAGCACGGGGGTATAGTTCTGCCATGTAAACACTACAGTGAGACTGTAGCTACCACAAAGTGGACACACACATACCACACCTTCATGAATCTTAGACCTATCTGTAAAGATGAGCCAAAAGCAACATATCTAGAACTAAGCTCCAAGAACTTAACTCAGTAAAGGTACGGCAGTGTATATGACTTGGCTAACACGGCAAGATCTTCCTGGACGAATATGGCCGGGAGGACCCTGGGTGGAATCAGCTGGTTGCCCAGCTTGATTACCATTCAAGGTGTATTCCTAGAGGGCATGTCTGGGTCTGAATTTGCTCGTATATTCTACTATACATAGCTGAGGGTGAGGTACTCAATCCAAAATATAAGAGGCAGCACTCCCAGTTCACAGCAGAGGTTGGCCAAAAGGCTTGTTCTGAATGAGCCAGAGACTGCTCAAAATAGTAGAGCCTATTGAGCCTCTGCAGGCGTTTTTCAGGTTGAAGAAGCCATGCAACCGTAAAACAAGGTCGACAACAGCGAGTCAAATATTTTCTGGAGGGTCTCCTGTTCACTCTCTACCTGAAGTGATCGATGAACATTAATATTGATATTACTTTCCTTCCCTTTACCTTGACAGTGTCAATATGTGGCTGCCATCTAACCAAGGAACCTCACGACTACATACCTTACTACAGCACCCCTCAGGCAGAGATGTGGGAGGCTGTGGGCCCTCATCAGCCTGCAAAAGAGGACGCATATGGTTTTCAAAGCAGAGAAGGCAAACCAGATTTCTTCGTATCTTCCAGCCACAACCTTTATCACTGACTGCATCATCCCTCCGATCTCCACTTTGTCCAAAAAGAAAAAGTAGGGGTCGTCGACGAACAGTAATCTCTGATTGGTCAAGTGACACCATCAGCGATACCATCCACTGTGATCGAGAAAAGTGTAACACTTATCACTGAACCCTGAGGGACTCCATTCTCTTGAATAAAGTCCCTGGACCCCTGAATCTTTGGTTCCTCAGGAAAGCCCCAAGGAACCGGGGTATTTGTCTCTAAATCCGATATATTTACATTTCCGAAATATCGCATATCTCCACGTCATATCACAGACTTTCTCGAGGTTATCACAAGCTTTCTCGAGGTCTAAGAACATGGCCAGAGCATGCACTCTATTCTAAAACCTATTCCAAATATCACTTTCCAGAAAACAAACATGATGCTTACAGAATCCCACCTGATATTGGCCATAACCATCCCAAGATACCAGGCCAAATGACCATTTATCATCAACTCCAGGAGTTTACTCAGGCAGGTTGTCAGGGAGATTGGCCTGTAACTTATGGCCAGATTCGGGACCTTAAGGGTGGGAATGACCAACACCTCTTTCCAACTGTCGGGATAGGAGCCCATATCCCATTTGTTGTTGAAGAATTCCAACAGGCTATGCATCGCAACCTGAGGAAGGTTTAACAGCATGGGATACCATTGCTCCAACCGTTGCTCAGCGGAGGGTTATACTTCTTTCTCTCTCTCTCTCTCTCTCTCTCTCTCTCTCTCTCTCTCTCTCTCTCTCTCTCTCTCTCTCTCTACCACCATCTGTTTTGGTTTTCATTCTAAGAAAGTTGTCAGGATTAAGCTGCAGAACTGGACACAGCTGCAAAGTGTTGTGCCAATTCCCCAGCGACATCAGAATCCTTGATTACATTCCCGTATTCCATACTCAATACCGGCACTGACGGAGTTCTAGTTTGGCCACAGAGAGCTCTGATCCTTCACCATGCTTCCCTAGTCGAAGTACGAGAGTTGATGCCTTCCACATACTTCAATAAGGATTTCCTTTTGGCTTGGGACAGGGTAGCCTCTCCCTGGCTCTTTCAACTTTATACATAATCAGATTATCATCCGTTGGGTGCTTCTGATGCGACAAAAAGCTCGCCTTTTCTCCAAATGTGCTAAGGTGCAGTCTTGGTTTCACCAAGGCATGCAAGGTCTACAAGTAGACCCATGTGTCCGGGGATCTATAAACTTCTGAGGGGGATGGTTCACCATATGTACCCGACTGTGAGCTGCATAGCGAAAAAAGCCAAAGGACTGACGTATCTGTCCGGCATTCCTGCCATGCTTTGAAGACAGAGAAGGCAACTATGTCTCCACAGAGTTGAATGGTCCCTCTAGCATCAGGACGGAAAATTGGAATTGCCCGAGAAACTCCTGTCTTCCATAGAGGAAGCTGGTAACAGCACGCAGTAACAACAGGCTCACTTTAAGTTCTTGCCAGAGGGCTCCCCACTAAGCCACTACAAGTCCTTACCCACGTAACGCATACCTGGGCTTAGAACTTTGCCTGCAGTTCAGTCGATCATGCACCCTCCCCCAGACACCCTTCTCCACATAATATATTAAGGGGGAGAAGTGGTCACGCTCTCCCCTAGTATTTGGGCAATGGGTATCCCCAAGGCTTTGCATGCTCGCCCTTTCGGATTGCAGCCACTCCACCCTGATCTATATTTGCTATATGTTCACCTTAAGCGCGATACCTCTTTTAGTTTGGCCTCCGAAGAGGTCCTTGACAGTCGCTGCCATGAGAAGGCAAGGTCGCAGGAATGGGAGTTATAAGTGACATATCACTTTTTCTAATCAACTTTGTTTGCTCGTGTCTACCATCCTTGGGACATGAGGTTCTCGAGAACTCTTCGTCACAAGACTAGAGGATCTTTAACGTTGGTACCTGGTCTATTCAGCCTTATCGGGTGTTTTGATTCTCAAGATGAGAGTTGACGCACCTCCGCATAGGATGGAAGAGTGATACTGCCGCAGCATTGGTGTAGAGGCGTACCAGCTCCTAAGGGCCAAGACAACCTCGCTCTCCGCTTGTCCGCTCCGAATGGTCGGTCCCGCATTGTGTATCGGGTCGTATGCCACATGCAAAGGGTTAACAAGCCGAAATACATCAGCCTGTTCTCCCGCGCACTCCCTAGATAGAGAAAGCGACTCTATCTCCCAGATTATTGGGGCTTCCCCAGCATAGAAACTTCCGGATCCACCCCGGCAGCGGTTTTGTTTAATGTGGAATTGCTAACCACACCCTAGATGAGCACCGCCTACGGTAAAATCCTCTTGTCGAGCTCAGCCTACACCTGCTATGCGCATTCAAGGGACGCCGTAGGCTCAGCCTAAGAGGTCCGATCCTTCGCTTCCCCAAGGGTACCACGCCGGTCATACGCAAAACAATGCAAAGCATACTCGAGTCCGAGACACCGATTCACTACCCAGTTCCGTTCGCTTACTCACGCATTCGAGGGACTATTCAGCATAATCATTGCGTCCTCAATGCTAATACGCTGTTGTCTGGTCCACCGTCTCCCGTGAGGCTGGGGGTAATAACGCTGGTCATACGCAAGCTTCATGAAGGTCACAATTAGAAGATAGCCTCTAAGTTCCCACCAGGGGCGTCACCACGTACCACCACGAATCCATTCCCAGTGTAACAAGGGCTGGATTTTGGAACATTTCTGTTACCCCGTGGTACAGATGGCCATACACCCTCCCCGTCTATGCAGACAGGATCTAGTGCACTGACCCTCGTGTGACTCTGCTAAGGCAACCGTCGCCCATGTGGACCCTAGGCCGACATGAGTACAGCTAGTGCTATAGAGAGGTTGCCTTGCCCTCTGGGCTGCACCATTATTTTGTGCCCGCCCGGATAACCCCTCCCCCCCTGCAACCAAGGGTTGGGAGGGGTCACAGGATAGAAAGAAGGAACTCGTTCTATCCTGTGACCCCCTCCCCTCCATCCTTGGGACACAGTAGGCATAGTCTTCGCATCCTTGCATGCTACATGCATAACAACACAGCAACTAAAATGAGGAAAAACAACTTACTTTTTTCAGCTAAAGAAATACATATCTCCCAGGAGTAAAAACTAATACATAATAACGATAAATTCCTTACCATAAAATTTCCTCCAAACCTTTTATTAAATCATTTACGTTTTAGTGGTCAATCAACTAATCCTCTTGAAAATAGCAAAAAGAGGGTAGGTTTAGATGGTTGGTGTCTGAGAGGATCGAAGTCACGATAGCTCAAGTGGTAGAGCAGCAGTGTATATAGCCAAAGGTCGTGGGTTCGAATCCCGCTCGTGACACTGACTTTAAAGTAAAACGTTTTTTAAAAATCGATTTAACAATCACAAATTCTAAAAGAACATTTATATTATCCATCCTGAATCATTATAATGGATTTTTTTTTGCTTTTTAATTGGAATTAACATGCACAAAGAATGTCTCTGAGGGGATAAGTGAGTGAAAACATTGCCATTTTATTGTCCCATGTCTACCTCGTCCTTGAATAGATGCTACCCAACTCTGCGCCACTCACATCAATCTGTCTACACAAGAGTAGACCATACATTCTGACCTAGTGAGATAGCAAAGATGATTAAAATATTTTTTCATCAAGAAACAAAGTTGATATCTGCTTTTCACACTTAAACAAACCCTAAATATAAATTGCAAAAATCAACAAATATTATTTTTCTATTACATTTTTAGCTTTGGATTTGATTTTTTTTGTAATTTGCAAAAATGATAACTTCAAAACAACTTAACACATCAACAGGAAACTTTACAGCTCTGGTGATCATTATTAACTACAAGTAATGGCGTGAATTTGGCTTCCGCAAATAAATTACACCTGAAATACGAAATAAAACATTCGGGGAGTTTGTTTTTGTTTATTTCATCCTTATCTTTCTCATTTATAATTTCATTAAATCCAAACATTGCTTAAGCTCTAAGCTGAAAAATTCACATTCCCAATCATAATAAAGTAGAATTTGAATAAAATCCATAAAATGTATGAATATTTTTTAGTGAAACATCGAACTTCACAAGAAAAAAATACCCCCTTCCCCGTGGATCAGCCAAAAAATTTCTAATCCTACATTATTGTTTTGTTATCCTAGTTAAACAGGAAATATATTCATGATAAAGGTTTTTAAAAATAATTGTTTTAACTGCGAACTGGTTCTTCGAAGCCTGAATTAAGGGATGTCAAGTTACCCCAGAGTACTTACATGAGCCAACTTGTTAAAACAGCAATGATAGCTAAAATTTTGTTACACTGATTAGGAATTTTTTATTTATTAATTCACTAATTCCGTGGTCCGCTTGACCAATTAATACATAACAATTAATTAAGGTTTTTAGTTGAGATGAAAAAAAGTTAATGGCATGAGAGGGATCCGAACCCACGACTTTCGACTTGATACGCCGCTACTCTACCACTCGGACACTAACTTCCCATCTCAACCCCACCTTATGAGTTTTCCCTCCTTTTGCCATTTTTCAAATGTCGTGTAANTAAGTTTTTATGTCATGTCTGTAAACATCAGCAAAAATAACATCTGAAAAATTTAGTAAAAATTGTATTTATCTTGAAATCATACAAGACATGAATTAATTTGAAATTTTTCGAGCTTTCCAAAACAGCAGGTCAGAATTTTAAGTGATAAAATTTTTAAATTTTGTTTTTGCATGGTGTGTAGATTATATTAGCTTATACGATTTTTAAGCTGATAAATTATATGATTGTAGAATTACTAGTTCTATTATAAAACAAATTTTTTTAGGAATAATAAATTCTAAATTATTGTTTTGTTGTCAGGTTGTTGTAACTATAAACGGTTGCTTACGTGACTGCAGTCGGTCTCCTTTAAGTCCTGTTTCTCCAATCGCATCGACAAGCAGTTAATATAACACACCATGGATCCATTTGTGCACCCACATCATCGCTAAAAGTCCTGCTATTCACATTGCAAGCATAGCTTCATTTAGCCCCATTCAGAAATGTTTGTCATGTCTATAGTGGGTGGCTTTCCACTAAGCGGCATCGCTGTTTTTTTGATGCCTATACGTGGACTAATAAATCACACTTTGATGTGTGCTAATAGAATGGCTGTGGCATGACCGTCAAGGGGCAGTTAGAAATAACCAAATCTACCAAGTGTTCTTAACTGACGCGGGCTTCATCGCATAAAAAAAATATATATCTAAAAAAAAAATTAAAAGATAAATAAGAGATTGCACATATTCACAAGTCATTTGTGCATTCTAGTATAGCTGCTATTTCCCAACACTATGCGCCTGGTGCTCAGGTCTTGTAAATTAGATTTTTTTAAATTTGGGAACAATTTTGAAGTAGACAATAGACTTGCTTAATGTGATTTTCTGTATAAGGAAATATGGATTGTACTTTTGGAGTTAAAACACAATCAGTGGGCCTAAGTCCTGTAAAAAGAAGTCTCTAGTGTTCTAAAACGTAAAAACAAAGTGTTTTTGTGTGGTCTTATGGGATCCATTGTCTGTGCATTGCCTAAGACGTAAAAATCTATTTCGAAGAAAGTTTTTTTTTTTTCGTTTTTAATTTAAATAATATGTACATTCCCTACAATTTTGAAATTTGTCTTATTATGCAATTAAAGTTTGTGTTTTAAAAGTTGTACCAGTTTTCATTATTTGTTTTTATAAAGTTTCTTAATTAGCTTCTGGCCTAAAGATTTCATTTTGTATTCGTATTACTTCATATTTTTTAAAAAATTATCATTAATTACTGTTATTAAAAGCACATGCACATTGTTTATAGCGAGACCTAGTTTTTTCTTCAATTTCTATTCTATTTATATCGTTAAAAATGCCGAGGAATAATTAGATAATACCTAACATGTCTCATTCTCTCTATTTCTCTAACTATGTATTTCTCAAACTTTCTCTATAAGATATCTTTATAATAATATCTTGTTTACTTTAAAAATTTACAGTTTTTGGAAAAAAAAGAAAAAGAAAAATACAGTCTTTTAAAAAAATAACTAATTTTATGATATTCTGCTACTTGTCCGAAGAAGCGAGCTTATAGAACCATTGAATTGCTAAGTTCTTTTCTTTCTTTTGTTTTCATAGTAATAGAACAAACATTACCTATTCGGGGGGGAAAAAAAATAAAATTAAACAATTAGGAACTTTATCACCGCCATTGGATGGGCAGGCAATCCGGCCATTTATTTTAGATTTTGTAAAAAAAAAAACAAGAAAAAGAAAAGAAAAAACAAGAAAAAATGTAAAAATAAATTAGAATAATCTACATCATTACAATCATTAACCTTTAATCGACTGGTCTTAAATTTAGGATCTAAACAAATAAAGGGGTTGTACACAAATTCGATTATGATTAAAAAAAAAAAAAATTGAAAAATAAATTAAAAAAAAAAAAAAAAAGGGAAAGAAAGCTTGTTGTGGATGATACCCAGGCACAGTAGGCTCAATGAGTCTGTCGCATGCACCTTGTTCAAGGCTAATCGCCTTTCACTGCCACAGCACAACTATTTGTAAATAGATTATAGAATACAATTTCTTTTATTTTTTGCAAAAAAAAGGGTTAACTCAGAGTGGACATTATAAAATACCATACATGAATATATATATGTATATAATAATATAGCATAGCGTCCTATATGTATATAAATATATATATTATGTATTATACCTATTATTACTATTATAAAAAAGACTTAAGATAAAATTATTCAAATATCGAATAATGTATAGTACAGTACTACTAAAGTACCTCAGCTCTGGGGTTCTAGCTTTATAATAATATTGTATTGTCGATATAAAAATATATAAATATTATACAGTATACATACGGTTTCGAGCTGCGATTTTTACTATGTTAATGAACCGTTTTGGGACTAAGGAAACATGCCCAGTGTTCGTTTGACAAAGTTATTTTGCTTTCTTCAGCTTAGATTTCTAATAAAATGTCACTTTCAAAGGAAAATCAAGCTTAGACAAAAGGAATTTAGTTTAGATAACTAATAGAAAGAATTGTTTTTATTATTGTTATTATTCGAGTAGGTGACAAATTGTGATAAAAAAAAATTGACAATTTGACCTGATTTCGATTGACATTCCAGCCCAAGTTGCGTTATGGTAGCTTTGGGAATTCTAAATGTTTGAACACTTATGTTACATCGGGTTTTGAATGTTTGTGCTTATAGTGAAAGGACATGTTTAATGTACAAATAAAAATATTAAAAAAAATTGTTGTGTAATAGTCATTATGTACGCATTCTTACAGAATACATTAAAAATATTTGTATATTCCTTGTTGATATGATGTTTTTAATGTACATACAATTATTTTAAACCTGTATAATTTTTTAATTTATACATTTGACTTATAGCTTGTTTTGTGCTTAAATTGTTTATACATGTACAGAATTATTATTAAAAAAAAAAAGTCAAAGCACAAAAATTTTGTTTTGTATCATAAAGCGTTTTGTGTGATAAAGTGTAATATTAAAAGAATTAAAAAAATACACTCAAATTTAAACTATATTGTTTAATGTTTAAAAATAAAATTGTTCAGATTAATCAATTTTTTGATTTTATGTTGCGTGGGGAAAATATTTTTTGAAAGTCTAAATAAAAAAATAAAAAAACATTTTCTCATTATGGTGTCAGATCTAAATGGTAATGCACTATAAATCAGAACGAAACAAATAGGTAAATTATATATCAAGAAAAAAAGACGAGGGGAAAAATGCTAGAAAGCAACGCCTTTATTTTCTATACCACGAGTGGGAAATAAATCCCCGAAATGTATGCTCATTACGATCCATTGTTTCTCATTGTAATCGCAATATTTTTCTACATCTTCACAAATTGTCTGTGACTTTCAAATCTTCCATTTGTCCAAAATCAGTACAGAATTTCAATATAATATCGATCGTTAAACAATCGTTAGGTCATTTGTAAATAGTAATTATTGGAACTATTACTTTATGCTCAACGATATGACCCATTTGTACATATGCTTGTACATAAAAAAAATTGTTATTAATTCCAGGCACTTAGGCCCTACGTTGACCTCAAATAAAGTAGTTCTTTCATTTCTTAAAATTTTTATGAAGGGTTTGGAAGTTACAGTAGATGCTTTTGGTAACTATGGCAACCTGTTATCCTTTCCAAAAGTCATTTTTGCACTGCTAAGTATTTAAAAAAAAAATTGTTCATTTAGTCCTCTCAGTGATAATCTGATCTTTATTCAAAAAAATACCTTCCTGATAATTATTTAACTCTGTCCAATCCTGTGATAAAATATTAAGAAAAAAAAAGGTAAAAACAAAATATCCGGCAACTCTTGTAATTTTAACATTTGTTGTATTTAAATCTCTTTACAAAGTATATGATATTTATGCTTAAGGCACTGCAGAATTTTTAAGAAAAATCAGTATTTGATCTGGCGTATGATCTGATAAGACTATTGAATCTTTTATATGCATTTTTTTTTAATATAAAATGCAAATGAAAGAAAAATCATTGAAATTTTTTTTGAAATTGTTACGCTGGTTTACAATGAATGAGCGATTTCAAGCTCAGCTCAATTTAATTTAGGAAATTTATTCCTTTTAACATGTGACTTACAAATACATTTTGGAAGAATCAATAAATGTTATGTAAGTGGCTTTTTTATTTTTTTTCTTCTCTCTAAATTCCCAATGGTATTTACAGTTTTTCAAAATGAGCATGGGCTTCCATTTATGTATTCATACTAAATGATAAAGGGCTTTCGATACATAAATATATATATTAATCTTGTTTAAGAGATGTAAAATCTGTTTTATATTGATAATTAGATAATTGCTTATTAGTATTACATGAAAATCTTGCACTAAAAGCCAACCTTCTTTTATATTAAGGCCACATTTTTTCCCTTCAATCTAATGTCTTTAAAGTGTCTTATAAATTTTTTTAAGCATTAAACCATGAAGAGCATGCTGAGAAAAAAATGCCAGCATGGGCATTCTATTAAAATGTGAATATAATTGTGCTCTTGAAAGTGTTTATTCACTCCTAATTGTCTAAAAATGTGTTTAAATGATGAATAAAAGTATTTTTAAGTCTGAATTTAAATATTTCAAGTGAGGGAAACACCCTCAAATCAGTGAAATCCAAAAAGTTCGAATTGTGTTTTTTCCCTTTTGGACAGACCATGTTGAATTTGTTATTGATTTTTTTATTTCCATTATTTATTGAATATGTTTATAGTATTGAGAACAATGTATGATATAATAAATGTATCTTTCTTAAGTAACGCGGCCCGTATTCTTGGGCTTGTGTTGATATTTGGAGGATGCAGTGTTTTTTGCCCTTCAAAATATTTTAATAGCATAAAAATACCAAACCTCCCACATATGGTCTGTATCACTAGCTCGTCGACAAACTTAGCCAGGTTTTGAGCAGATCTTGGGGACAGAGAAAGTTCAGGGATCTAAAATCTCGGAGTACTAAAATTCCCATTTATGATTTTATCACTGGCTTGTTGATCCCCCACGACTGCTTCGGAAATGTCCCATCAACATTCAGATTTTTACAAAATTTATTGTTCAGAATTTACCTGCTGTACTATTTATTTTTATTTATTTATTTTTTTTGGGGGGGGGGTTTATGCTGGCATATTACCCATGAAGTTTTCTATTTTCATTTTACTGTCGAGCGGGATCGGCCGACCAGGACCAGGCTCATTCGGCTCCATCATCTCATCTTCTAATTTTTCATGGTTGAAGATAATCAAAAAGAAATGTTTATCGACTTTAGAAATCCGTAGATTATGTTGAAAGCTGATGGATTGTTGCTTATTAGGACAGATTCTAAGTTTATTGGTTTGGAAATGTTTGGGACTTTGCTCAGATTTTTTAGCAGTTTGTTTCTTTCATTTTTATATTCTGGACATTCAAAAATTATGGGAAGGATTTGAAGGGCAATCGGAAGTGGGACAGTTCGGAGACGATGCCAAACCAATTTTCTTCTTGTAGCTACCCCATGATTTTGTGAGATGATCATGAGCTAGGCCATGATTTGTCTTCAGTCTAAAAATAGTAGAATAGAACTTTGACATTCCTTCTGGGCTATCACCTTCCGAAAACCATGGTTTTTTCTTGAGCTCAGGGAACAGTGACCTGTAATAATTGCCGACATTTGATGCGTTGTATTTTTCTTGCCACAGATTTCTACAAAACTTTTCCAAAAAGTTTTTCCCGTCATCTTTAGGAATTTTAATGTCAAGGGTTGGACCTGATGTTTCAGCCTCCTTTGCAAGAGCGTCCACCGTTTCATTTTGCCATAAGCCTGCATGCCCTTTCACCCAACACAATGCCACCCTTTTTCCCATGATTTTTGTCTCAAGCATTTTCCTAAAGATTTGGGCAAAAATATAGTTTCTGAATCTATATTCTGGGGTAATGTTATTTAACCTTTCTACAATGCTTCGACAGTCTGTGAGGATACAAAATTTAGAATCACCCAATTTTCGTATGCAATCGAGAGCGCTACCTATTGAAATTCGTTCTGCTGTATAAACAGACATTGAAGTTGGAAGCGAATGTTGTTCCTTGTATTGATGTTTAGGGTCAAAAAGGGCATAACCTGTTTTGCCATCGATGGAAGAGCCTTCAGTAACTACGTACACATGTTCCAGATATATCTTGTTAATCGGCTAGGAATTCTTTTTGAACAATATGCGAGTCGAGCTGGGAATAATCTTTAAAAAATGTTGTCGAAATTTTTAATTAGTACCTCGTACTCCATCTGATGGGGTCCACAGGGCTTTTAAAAAGGGAGTAGATGAAAGGAACGGACTGTAGGAAGGGGGATTTCTTTTTTTGGTAAAAGGTTGAGGTCAGAACTTTTTCAGTGAGTGTAACTATTTTATTAAATATAGGACTTTCCTGTACTATATATAAAACTATATAAATATGATGATTTTACACCTTTCATGTATTGTAGATGGATTGGTGCTGGAGGAAAATGTTCATGTGCAATAAAACAATATAGAAAAAAATTATGGGCAATATAAATTGTGTCGTTTGATCATTTTAATTGCTGTAATGCTTTCTGGTTATATGGTTTTATTCTCTGTCTTGTTTAATAAAAAACTTATGACAGCTGTCACATAAATGATAATACTAAAAAGATTTATAATACAAAATAAGGCTAGACAGACTGAAATTTAACAAGTACCATAATGAATGAAGGGTTTATTATTTACCGTCACAAAACCTTTAATAATTTAGCAAAATTTCACCTAATTTTGTTCAGCAGAGTCATATTTAATCAACTGCAGCCTAGTGGTTTAGGTTATTAGAAGTCAGCCTATTTCTCATGGTAACCAATATTGATCTATTTTGTAAAACATCATTGTCTAATGTTTCGTTAAGATCACAAAGCTTTGTTATATCCTGTGTCCTTTAGGCCTTTGTGTTTCCTCTTTCAGGAGTTGAAATCTCACCTTGCATACTACTTCGCACCAACCAAGTTTTATTTCTTTGTATCAGTACCTCCACAGGTTTGTTTCTGCTGCTCTGAGTCTATACATAGCCCTCGAGTCAGCAGTCCTACTACACTCAGTACTAGTCACCACATGTCTTAGGTTTAGTAGTTTTGCCATTAGTTTCTGTGATGGCATTTAATTGGGTTTTTTCGTATACTCTGCCCTGGAATACATTCTCCTCGAAATGAGTACTTATTCATAACACATCTGATGGATTTAAATTTTTGGCATTTGGTATTCCGCAAAAGGGGTCAGGGCTGTTCGATGTTCTGATTGAACTTTCCTTTTTCACATGTAAGTATAATGTTAAGGTGTTGTATTTTAATTCTTATGTAGGGATTTGCATCAATCTATTCTCGAGTCCGAAATATCTTGAGTGGGAGCCGGAAGCTGTTAATGTACAGTGGAGGGCACACTGGTGTATTTTTCCTCATTCAGTCCTCCACGTTTTGCATCAATCTTTGATCACTAAGTAGAATTCAAGTTAGAAGACAAAATGGCAATATCATCTTCGTATAGTATTGGGATTTATAGGAAAGACAGCAGTACAAATGGTAAAAAGGGTGGGACCAAATAAACTCCCTTGTGGGACGCGAGCTTGTGTTGGGCTGATGTCTGTTTATTCGTTGCCTCAACTCACTCTCAACCAGTGGTCAATAAAATATGGATTTCTGGGACAATGTAACAAGTAGTGGGTACTGCCTATGAAAAAACAAGAAAAAAAGAAAGGAGTGCGTAGGAAGCATTTAGGTTACAAAGGATGCTTGGATGCCAAATCCAGGAACGCACCTAAACAGTACTCTATGACCTCAAAAGTGGATGAAATGGTATCAGTGACTCTGAAACCTTTCTGGATCGTGGAATGATTGGGAAGGAACCGAATTGGTAAGAAAGAACAATCTATGTGAATCAAGGATGGGTGTTACGTTTCAAGCATTCTGTGTATTTTGGCCGTTAAAGGAAGAAGGCTGATGGTCCGTTGGAGGACATGTGGTTGAAGTTTTGCAAGCTTTATGAATGAAATGACGACGGAATAGGAGAAAGTAGCTGGGGAAAAACTATGGCCTGCTGAGGAATGTTTCAAAGTACAATGGGCCTAGGCGTTGACACGGCGATCATCACTGTAAGGTAAAGGTCCCGGGTTCGAATCCAGCGGCCCCGCATTCGAACCCGACATACAAATGTTTTTTGTTTTTTTTCAAAAACACCAGAACTCCGAGGGTTCAAATAACCTGTTAGTCGAAATACCCTCGTAAGAAAAAAAAAAGAAAGTACAATGGAGGAACTTAACACATATTCCCACCGGGTTGTGGGTTCGATTCCCACCGTCACCTCTGGCCCTTTTTTTCACTGTCCCCCCAATATGAACACATACAAGAATTCGTCACCATGGTTCATATGCATAGGTCATAAGGCAAAAAAAAATACATATTCAAAAACAAATATACAACAAAACAAATATACAAAAAAAACAAACTCATATTCAGGGGATTTTCTACTTGGGTATTTGCGTATTTAGTACTTACTTCAGAAGATTTCCTCATACACCAAAACAACATACAATAAACTGTATAAATTTTTGTGAAGTGCAAAAATAAAAGTATAACAAGAAAAAATAAGTGTTGTACATAAAGTTAACTATGTAATAATTATTTTGTTCAAAAATGGTTGTATATTAATTATTCCAAATTAAAAAAAAAGTTCAGAAGAAACAAATAAAACAAACTTTTCAAATGGTGGAATATGACTGTTCAGTGGTGATCGTTGATTTTTTTTTTTTTTTTAGAAATGTTGATGTGAGAAAATAATAAATTACCATTAAAAATAAAAATGTCCCTGTTGTTTAATGATAATCGCCAAATTGATATTAATAATTTATGTGTAGAATTTAGTGACCGTTGATCAATGATTAGAGATCGTGAGATGAGGTCCGGTGTGATTTAGGTTTCAGAAAAACATTTTCTTTATCGTGCCAACGTTTCGATCTTTACTGAGATCATCTTCAGCGCCTGGGATTTATAAACATTGTTTAAATTATACAAATACATGTAAGATGTGAATATGAATTTATACAATGATGTATACAATATAGAAATTTCAGGTTTAATCGAAATATTTGTACTCATTCAAAGTATGTGTTCTTTGTGTAGATGTGTCCTGTTGTGTTTTTTTTTGTATGTGTTTCACTTTGAAATAGTGGGGAAGAAAGAAGGATTTTTCTATGAGGATTCGGCTTCTTTGAGGTGAAAGGAAAAATGGAAAAAAAGGTGTAATGGTTTGTCGTTCGGGCCTAGATATTAATAATTTAAGTGTTATTAAACTTTTATTGCTACAAAATAATACAAGATTTAAACAATGAATAATATAAATGTAATTCACGAATAACAATCGTACAAAAAAAGTGGCTTTCTTATATTTTGGAGAAAACCTTAATTTAGGCATATGGATATATATAGACATAGTCCACTTACGAAAGTAAGCAGTACTGAATTTAATTATTGAATGATGATAATTGTCCACAAAAATGTCTTTATATATATTTTATACATGGTTGTCGACTTGTTTGTCGATATCGTCGACAAAAATGGGTCCTGGGCCGAATTTTCCCGCTTTGGTTTCGACAGGGTCGTGAGAATACATCTCCCTGAAGTACTTGCTGGCTGAAGCTAAGGCGTTTCTGGTTTCGTTGAATTCGTGGACGAACAGAGATAGCCGGCCTAGTACGAAATTATGGTTGTCCTGAATTTGATTTATGTTACTTCCTATATTGTCCAGCTTGGAAGCCAACTGATCGAACTTTTCCTCGCTCTTAATTGTAAAGTGATCGGTTTCGTTTTGTAACATATCGAGGACCTTGGCCGATGTAGTAATCTGCTGGTACATGACGCTGATTTGCCTCCAGACCTGGCTTATCTCCTTTTCGAACTGCTTGCTCAAGTTGCCCACGGATTCTTTTTGGAAGTTGACTATCACGTCCGAGATCTCGTCGAACTCTTTGTTTACGGTGAAGTTCAAGTCGACGTTTTGCGTGGTCAGGACTTGTTGCACTTCCTGCAACATCCGGTGAACGCCGTATTCGAACCGTTTCCTCGTGTCCATGACGTTTTGCGACGTTTGCACAAGGACGCTTTCGATGTTTTGCACGGTTTTCGAGTTTTCTCCCAAGTTCGTGACGGCGGCTTGGATATTTTCAATTGACCGGCTAGTTTCGTTGACCAAGCTCATCACGGAGGTGGTAATCGCGTTAGACTGTTTTTTGACGATCTCAGCAGTATGATCGAACCTCGATTCGCATTTGGCCTCTCCTTCTTTTAATTTCGCCATCATTTCATTTCTAAACGAAACGATTTCGTTGATCGTGGCATTGTCCCTATCTGAAGTTTCAGGTATCGTGTTAATAAATTCGAATTTTTGCTTCAATTCTGACAAAATCGACTTCCTATCTTTCTGCGCTTCGGCGTCCTTCGCCACCAGTTCGTCTTGCTGGCTGGCCAAATGCGAAACGCTCTTTGACAGTGAAGAGACTTCAGTCTTAACTTCCTGGACGAGGGTCTGAAGTCCGTCAATTTTTAGTTTCATGGTTGTTTCCAAGAGGTCCATTTTGGTAGGACACGCTTCTTGTCCGTCTACTACCGTTTGAAGTTTGTCGGACAAAACCTGCATCGCGTCGTCCGAGAAACCCTTTCTAGTTTCTTCCTGAAACACAAACCATCCATATCATCTTGCCAAAGAATATACAAAAAAGCATGTCCAGCCGTTGTTCATTCTTTTTATTAAAACAATGAAATAAAAACTGTTTTACTGTTTTTTAAACCTTATAATTATACATCCTTCAATTTTCAACCTGCCTGAAGAGTACGCATTCCAACTCTTAGAGAACAATTGGCCGAGGATGACACAGGTGCGGTATCGAAAACGTACGATTGTTAAAAGTTGAAGAAATCTACTTCCCTACCACATGCTGAATACAAAAAATAACCCAGGAGAAAATAAAAGGATAAAAAGAAAGTAAAGACAATTGAAAATTTTGTTAGAAGTCCTTTGAAAGGTAAATCTCGACCGTTTCTAGTCAGATTTCAATCAGACTAAAATATGAGCTATAAAAATAAAAAAAATGTATAGACCCCAGAAGTCAAAAAAATACCCCAGACTACCAATTTGGCCCAAAATATCCAACAATAGATGAAATTCACCGAATGACGGTTGTGACAACAAAAATCCACTGGAAGAACTTATTTTTTACCATATTTTCCTTCATGCTTTTTGTAGGCTTTTGCGAAGTTTTAGCATAAAGGACATAAATAAACTCAACTAGAGGATACTACGAGAAAAGTATGTAGAACACTTTCTACTTAAATGAGGGACATTTTAATTTCAGACAAGACCATCCGTATTAAGAACATAAAAAATAAAGTTGGGAGTGCTCCAAGGGAGCATACCAAGTCCAATACTTTACTTGCTATACTAATGATTTTCCTGGATGGCGTAAAAATTGCAACGTTTCCAGATAAAACATCCAGTGGTAATGCCTAAAAAGGCGTGTAGCAAAATAAAGGGTAAAAAACAAGAAAAAATAAGGCTCAATCAGCTTAAGTTTTGCAAAAGATGGTTTTACTCACACACGTTTTAGACACACGATACCCCCCCCCCAAATATGAACACATACAAGAATTCGTCACCATGGTTAATATGCATAAATCATAAGGCCAAAAAAAAGTTTTAGGCAGCTAAAACTTAAAAAACTTACGCGTAACACCATCTTTTTATTAACACCTAAATTAGGTATCAGTATCTCCTCCTCTCTTGGCAATAACACCTCGGTTTTTTCAGGCGGAAATCTGGGCCATTTATGTGTGTTGTGGAACACGTATGGAAAATAAAATCAAGGGAAAAGGTAGAATCATTTCTGACAGTCAGGCTAGTCTTAGGTTATTACAAAAAGATTTGTCAATATCTAGACTGGTGGAGGAAACTACAGATCTTACCAATAGGATCTCTTTCAGGTTCGAGAACAAGGTAACCCTTATTTGGATACCAGCACATAAAGGACACTATGGCAATGAAGAGGCGGATAGCCTGGCCAAAGAAGGTTCTAATACTGGTCGGGCCACAACCGGTATTACCCCACTCTATAAGCACAGCGAAAGAGAGTATCAATAGCTGGGGCATGAAACAATTACTTAAAGAATGGAATCTGTCCCCTGGAAGGAGATCAAACCAGCAGAATCGAAATGGATATTCTCTAACTCAAGGAAGGGAATTAGGAGGCTGATAGGTATCCTGACGGGCCACTGCCCACTGACAAGACACCTCTCCGTAATCTCTCCGTAATGGGTATTCTACCAGATCCCTTTTGCCGTTTTTGCGAAATAAAAGAAGAAACGGCAAGGCACTATCTCGCAGAGTGTGATAGATATGCTAGGTCTAGAGTTGAAATCTTTGAAGAAGAGGACATCACCAAATCACTCCCCGAGATTAAATGGTTCAAAATCTTGGGGTTTGTGAACAGGTCCAAGAGGTTTGTGCAGGACACGTGAGCCGACCAAGTCCCGGACCTTTTAGGGACGGGGTACGAGTCTACCCAGGCATTTAACCTCTCGGGTCTTGGTCGCCCACTCTGCATAATGCATATAACACTATATTTTCCAAAAAGTGAATTGTCATATTCACTCCACCTCATTTGTATCAATCAGCTTATGTACATATAAATTTTACATATAAAAAATTGAACTTAGGATGGAACCGTACTTACAGCGTAAAAAGCTAAATACCTAGGGATGATCCAAGATGCCAACATGAGATGGAAAGAGCACGTAAAAAAGGTCAAACATAGGTTTAAGACATAAACAACTAGGTCCGTTGATAGTACCTTACAAAAAGTTACATTACCAAATAATACACAGTAATTATCAAAGCCTACCATATGGTATTCAACTATGGGGGAATACCAAATTAAATAATAGGCAAATTACTTACACTTCCAAATAAATCTACTGCAATTAATTCTGAGGTTATGAAATCGTTAACAAGTATTTTTTAAATATATCAGGCTTTCAATTTATTTTAAATTTATGGAGCTCTGGTAGTAAATTGTTCAATAATGTTGATTTTTAGTTGTGACTTTTCTTCGCTTCATGAAAAAACGTTGGGTACATTACCTAACGCATCCTTAACCATAACTTACACATAACCTTACCTAACCTATGCGCAATCGCCAGTAACGCAAAAACAATCACTCAAAAAATTTGTGAAACCAAAAATATATTCACGTAAAAAAAAAAACTTATAAAACCATTAACATATTCATTTTCACATGGGCTCGAACTTTTGGAGTACAACCTTAACCAAAGTTAAACATTACGCAAAGTGTGCGTAAAGTCCTAATTATTTGGGCTTGTAAATTACTTTGGATACTAGTGGCAATTAATTTACCCCTTATATTGAATCTATTTAAATAAACAAACAAGTCCTGAATCTAAGCTAAGCCAAATCCAAACGTTTATGGCCAAAATCGTTTGCACCACTAACAGCTCCTTAATCAAACGAGGTGGTCTGCGGACTGAAGAACCTGAAATTTGATCGATACCGATCATTTTGGTCTGGCTATCTTCGCTGGTTCAATCTGTCAGTCAGTTTGAGTTATTTTTGTCAGTCCGTTTTTATAAGGTCATGAAGGATAAGGACATGCATTCGGAAGATTTGTTTATATGAATTTTCAACAGTCTCGAAGTTGAGGTCACTTTATTCCTGGCAAATCCGAACGTACCAAGGCCTCTGATCCTTCTCGATACTCTGGGAGTGTCTGAGCTCTTTTCAGCTGCGGTTTGAAACTGGTGACCATGTTGGACATTCTTATTGGTCTGAATAGAGTTAGGAAGTTTAGTATCAGGCTTGGATGAATATTATCGAATAAATCTGGTTTGGAAATATGAGATTTTTTCTTAAGGACAGCGAGGGGGGAAAGTCTGGCTTTAGTTACAAAAACAGCGAGGATAGGAGGACCAAAATGATCTTAGCTTAAGGCCACACCTTAAGTCTCGTTTGACGCTTAATTAGAATGAAAATGTCATGTACGACTAAAGCTGAAGGCTTGGGGATAATGGACTTTTTGGCAAAACTGTTGTTAATTCCAAGTTTTATTATGAGAAGGGAATCTTCAATTTTACTGTTTGAAGATAAATAAATTTTTGAACAGCATCAAACCTGTCATTTATTCCCACCTTAATTTTCGACTTTTCCTCTAGATTTTCTATCCTTTCGTCCAGGATGCTGAGCTTGTTGATGATGTTGCGAAGGAGCCCGTCCTGGGCTCTTTCCCTCGCGTCCAAACCGCTGAGCGCCTTGCGCAAATGTTCGCCCAGTTGCCGTTCCCTGTTTTCGTGGCGTTCCAGCTTTTCGATCGAATCACGTAGCAGATGGACGAAACTTATCATCCCTTCTTTGATGTCTTCGTGCCTGAGGGTTGGCTTTCTTAGCGGACTTTTCGAGAAAAAAATTGAAATTATGTAATAATATTTACGTCACGGTTCTCGCTCCTGCGTTCTCTTTTGGGAAAAAGAGGACTAGTAAGATTATCAGTAGCTTCATGGCTCTTCCTACAGTTTACCTGTAACATTAAAAAACACCAATGAAAATTAATAACTATTCTATGGTATCTTTTTGTAATTTACGTTTAGGGGTCTGAATTTGACATCATCAGTCAGCAAACCCGCCACGAAAAATTCTGACAGGACTAAATATGTAGACCAGGATGTTTGAAACATCCTAACTACACTTTTCTTACCTTCTTAAGATAACGCAGGAAAAAATCGTGAGTTTATATGTTTCCTCATATTGGACGCGTTATTTGTATATGTCTTGATTTTTAAGTATGACCTTTTTTTTTTGTTTTCGCAACGTGTAGTTTGGTCGTTACCGATCATTTTGACCTGCCTACCACTTGATGGCTAGAGCGTTTTATCAACGCGCAGACCATTTGGGAAAACACTGTTTTAAACTTGTTATTTTTGAGGATTCGGTGTACCTTTGGCTGGCTTATTTTGCATAGTTGATTATCTTTAATTGCCCGTAAATGATCTTAGATATTTGTGTGTGGTTTATTTTTCAGTCTGACCCCTGTTCTCAAGTATTGTCGATGTTTTCCTACTGTGTATGTCTATTTCCCTACAGCTTTAAAAACTCCTTTCTAAATGTGCCCTAAACTAAAAAATCTCTGTACCCCAGGTTGCCTCCGTTGAGCGATTGGTAGATATTCTAAGATGATGTGTGTGGCTATTTCGTCCTCCTCATTGTGTAATCTCTAAATGGGATCATCATTGAATATACTCATTAGTTTTTTCAGTTCCCAGTGACCGGCAATAGTCCTACTGCTACTCTGAGTTTTGTCCTCTCTAACTAGCAACTAGTTTGCCACTTTTGATGAGGTTTATCGGTTTGCAGTATCCACTTCAACTTTTGTTTCTTTGGTTTCTGGGGTACGAGTCTACCCAGGCATTTAACCTCTCGGGTCTTGGTCGCCCACTCTGCATAATGCATATAACACTATATTTTCCAAAAAGTGAATTGTCANATGTGGGTGGCTATTTCGTCCTCCTCATTGTGTAATCTCTAAATGGGATCATCATTGAATATACTCACTAGTTTTTTCAGTTGCCAGTGACCGGCAATAGTCCTACTGCTACTCGGAGTTTTGTCCTCTCTATCTAGCAACTAGTTTGCCACTTTTGATGAGGTTTATCGGTTTGCAGTATCCACTTCAACTTTTGTTTCTTTGGTTTCTGGATTGGAGGATACTGTATCTGTTTTTGTGATCCCAAGTTCTGGGACTATATGGCCGGTTGTATTTTCGTTGCTCAAAATTCCTTCCTGTCCTAACACTTTTTTTTTTACAATGGATACCAGGAACTGGAGGAGTTCCCTCATGAGCACCGCAGTTGTACAGCTTATTATACTTTATCCCTGGCTCCATTTTTTGGGGGCTCGCAACACAAGTGTGAATTTGAGCCCCCGGTGTGCCGGTGTTCTTCCATCGAAGAAATTCATTTTTGAAGGGGGTTGGGTCCAAATTCAGGGTCGATGAGATCTGATCCCGCTCCTTCCATTGGTGAGTGCCATGTCAATTTGTTTCAATTGTGGCCAACGGTCCCCTTAGGCGTCAGAAAAAGTCCAGAGGCGACGGTGAGGATCGAACCCACGACCGCGGGATCTACTAGCCGAGAGTCTGACGCCTTAACCACTCGGCTACCGCGGCCCCCGTCCTAAAACTTAAGATGTCATTAAGTTCATGTTGAACCAGCACTGGGTCTGTCTCCATTTGCGGGCTTTTTGAGTTATTCAAACGCGTTTCGGCATTGCTCCATCTTCAGGAACTAAGGAAGACGGAGTGTTTCTCACTGAAGATGACGCAATGCCGGAACGCGTTTGAACAACTCAAAAAGCCCACAAATGGAGACAGACCCAGTAAGTGATCCTGTCTCGGTTCAACATGAATTCGCTGACAAGCAAAAACATCAACTCTATCATCAGGTTGTTACGTTCCCCAGGTTTGGAGATTTTGAATGCCTTTACTGACTAATTTTGATGTGACCTTTTTACATGCAAATGCTTTAAAGGCTAATTGGCTGTCTTACCTTACGAGGATGTTTTGTAGTGTAAACCTTTTTTAAGATCGATTCACTAGTTTTTGTGGTCCGCTTGACCAATTAGTATCATTCAGTTAATTAAGGGTTTTAGTTGAGATAAAAAATGCAGTGTCACGAGCGGGATTCGAACCCACGACCTTCGGCTGACGCCGCTACTCTACCACTTCGATCCACTCGGGCACTAACTTCCCATCTCAGCCGAAGGTCGTGGGTTCGAATCCCGCTCGTGACACTGACTTTTTTATCTCAACTAAAAACCTTAATTAATTGAATTTTTTTAGATTTTCTAAAGCACAAACACTGATAGCTTGAAAAATTGTCGTACTTCTCTAATGATTTCAATTGAGCTTGTTACAGAAAATACATGATCTGGTTCTTTCTTTTGTATCTGTAGTATGTATCATCTGTATACCATACCATTGACTCTGATTCCTCCTGAACTACTTCCTCTGAGTTCTACTTTTTTATAGTCTGCTGTGAAATCCGGAATCGTATAGTACTTATTTCTAGGAATCGGAGCCTGATTTTATTTATTGTTTATTTATTAGCTCCGAAATATTTAGTCTCTATCCAATTCGATGGTTATTCCTTGTATAAATGTGCCCAATGGAGAGCAAATTTAGCAGCATTTCAATGCGGTTGACGGGGTTGTTTTCAGTGACCCGTGATGCCTAGGTTTGACAGTCTTTCTATGCTGCTTTATGTTTGGCTAGCTTGTTTTTGTTGAGCTTTGGTCCACCAGATTAAAGAGCCATGGGATATTTTAGGGTCATACCACAGCTAATAGGCTATTTTTCGTTTTAGTCCCCAAGATTTACCTAGGAGTTTCTTGTAGTCATTAGTGATATTTTGTGTTTTCGCTATGATGGTTCCAGGTGAACTTCTTATCAATGATTATCTCTAGGTATTTAACATCATTTTCTAACTTCAGCATCTCATTGTAGAAACATTGGTCAACTTTCATCTGAGATTTTTTTTCCTTTAGAAGGCTAGGGACATATGAGTTCTCGAACAAAATTGAATTTTTATGTTTTGGTTTTATTAGTTATAAAAGTATTTATTTGTTGCACTTTCCCTTTTTAGCTTCGTGGAGGCAAGATAGTTTGCTGATTAACGTATGATGTGGATGAAGAACTTATACAAGTTGTACTTGCTATCGGACTTTGTGAAGCTTGTCGAACCAGTTCACGAAACTTTCCTGCATCCGCCGGATTGTTTTAATTATCAGTAGAACCAGTCTTGAACTTTTTTTAAATAAGATATTGGATGGTCGAATGAGGACGTTTAACTAGCTTCCTTATTTCGCAATAGCTTAAAACTTGCTTTAACAAATAATTTTATTAAGTCTTTTCGGAGGATCTACGTACCTCTTCCGTAGATCCTCCGAAAAGACTTCATGTTTCCAGCAGGTCGATAATCTAGTTCATCGTTAAATAGTTTCATTATTTGTAATGGTGCTTATTTCTTCTGATTTTCGACACATCTTTCACAGATTATAAATTGATGTGAATTAGTAGAAATAATAATTAAAAATATTATCTTCTTCCTTCGTAATTTAGCCTTATCTCTTTGTTCAGCAATATTAATAATTTCTTTTTCCAACACGTTCATATATTTGTGACTATGTAAAAATAAAGGTAGATGATGAAAATAAAATTGTATATTGAAATACCACCCATTCACTCTACATTAAACTTAAACATCCTCGCAGATAAAAATGTGATTTATTTTAACTGAGCTTTCAACACTAAAAGTAATAGATAGTTGTGTAAAATCGGGTTTTGATGTATTTATTTTTATTTTTGTTTGAATTATTATAGTTCAATGACTACAACCTCATTAACCTCGGTTATCGTTCATTTTTGTCTGGTCGACCTTCAACTATTCGATAAGTCAAGCGTATTTACGATGGCACTCTCAAGACGATATTATTAAATTTGCATAGTGCATTTTGTACTGTTCCCGTTTCATCTGATTTTTTCCGGCATAATTATGTGTAGGTTACTGATGCGGATTCCAAACACCAAATGCCAAATTTTCTATGGTAGATTCCAAGCCATAAAAATTGCTTTTAGATAAAGGAAACCATTGCACCACATGCTTAAATTTAGAAGATATTTCTATCTTGCCATGCCCTTAGGTAGTACATGCCACATTTACTCATAGAATAGAATCATTTATTGTTTATGTATTGAGGAATGACCCATTGAGGCTGCTGAGAAATGGGCCAATGAACCCGAAACATACAAAATAAATTGGTTTTGGGCACCTTCAGCTAACCTAGTAGTGGAGTTCAGAAACCTCCAGTACCATCTGCAGCGTTATTGCACTCCATCAATTCTGATTCAGGTGACATCACTCTGTAGATAAAGGGTGGAGACTTTTTCGACGCGTCATAGGAAACTATTGCACCACCATCCAAAACCAACACATGGTTTTGGGGACCTTCATCTTACCTAGCAGTGGAGTTGAGAAGCCTCCAGGATCTTCTGTTTTGACACTACCACCAAAACTAATCTCCCAAAAGTTTAATCCTTAGAACTACCTACTTTCCAATCCAAATGAAATTAACCATACAACCCATTAACAAAAGTCGAAGCGTCTGCCTACGTCATATCGTACCATCAGCTTGTTCCCATTAGTTGGCAAAATCTTTGAAAACCACCTGGATCCCATTCTTGAAACCTCCTGTGTTATTCCATTCTATCATTCTGATTCAGATGACATCATACTGACTATTTCAGTCTTCTGCCTTTCTTGAGCAGAACGAAAACTGTTCGAGTGCTTTCTTAGCTTCAATCGAAAGTGAGATCCGGGCTTGATCCGAAAACTGAAGAACATCCTTCCATTCATTACATCATCATAAAAACTACATATCCGGAAATTTCTTTCAAGTACGATTCTGGACATCCTTTTCCTCAATCCACTATGCCGAAGCGGGTATTCCTCAAGGCAACATCCTTGG